GCCAGGTGTTGTGGTGCATACCTGTAACCCAGAGGCTGAGGCAGGAGGATCACAAGTTCAAAGCCAGCCTCAGCAACTAAGGGAGACCCTGTCTCTAAATAAAATATAAAAAGGGGATGTGGCTCAGTGGTGAAGCACCCCTGGGTTCGATTCCAGGTACCCAAAAAAAAAAAAAAAAGATCTGGGGGTGTGGATCATGACTTCCTGAGGCCTGAGACAGGCTGGGGACATACGGGTTTCATTGAAATATAAATTAGATAAACTTACTATCCAAGTGGATCACCGGGGAGCCCGAGCTGCTGGCAGTAGCTGACTTGGCTGGAGGTGAAGGGGCTATCTCTTGCCCTTTCAGTTCCAAAGTATCCCAGGGAGCTCTGAGCCTTTTCTCAAGTCCAAGCTTTTGGATTTTGAAACCGCAGCAGTGATTTGGAAATGCCCATACGGTGACGTCTATCTTCCTTCTTGAATTTCTGTGATTTATTTCAATCAGAATGGATGCCTGAATTTTTAGGAACTGGGTCCTGTTCAGTGTGCTTATTTGATGAAGTAAGAAGTTTAAACAAGAATAACCAACTAAGACTTGCCCTCTCAGATACTAGAGTACACGGAAAAGCCTCAGTGATTTCAACAGCGTGCTCCTGGTGAATGACTAGGCAGACAGATGAGCAGAGTGCAAGTCCCGCAAATATAGAAATTTAGTATTATATTAGTGACATTCAATTCCTAGGGCTAAGCTGGACTAGTCCAGGCACAGACCTGGGCGAGGTGGGCAGCGATCTGGACTGAATTGACGTGGCTCCACCCCCTGTACCCGGGAAAAACTCCCAATAGCTCTCGGATGTAAACATAAAGCTAAAATATAAAAAGTAGGATACAAGAGAATTCTTTTATAATCTTGGAGTGGGGAAGACCTATCAAACCGATTTGAGATCCAGAGGCTACAAGAGAAAAGACATTATGTATATAAATACTTATATCTACAAATAGGTATATAGAAATAATTGAATTTTATATAAAACACACACACACACACACAAAAAAAAAACCCAGACTTTTTCATAGCAGTGAAAAAAATATCATAAGCAAATCAAAAGGCAAAAAACCAAAGAGGGGAGAAATGCTTGTAGTTCAGATCACAGTAAAGGGTTTATCCGTGGCAAAAATCACTGTTAAAAATCAGCAGGAGGCACTGAAAAATGGGTAAAGAGAATGGGCAATTCATAGAAAAACACATGGTACATAACCATGCAAAGATGCCGAGTCTCATCCATATGAAGAGAGGTGTGTGTGACAGAAGGTATTTGTAACCAAGCTCCATCTCCGCGGCTCTGTGGCCTCCTCGTTGGGAGAACCGCACAGCTGTCTTTCAGTTTTTGAGTTAAGGACAAACAGGTTTTAGGAGAGTTCAACAGGGGCTCTGTGACTTGTTTTTTAATTAAAAAGTAGTCCTGAGAGTTGAGCGTATAAAGATTTCCAGGGTGCAAAGCGGGGATCATGTTTCCGGGTAACATGGAGATGGTGAGGCCATGTCCTCACTGCCCCCTGATCTGGTGTTCCCTGGGCCTCACAGACCTTCACGTGCTCACATCAACACCTGTGGCGTCACAAGATGTCCACGTCTTGGCTTGCGTTTCTTTTATATTTATAACCTAATACTCTGCCTGGTGTGTTGTGGTTTAATAAGGCCACGAGGGGACATGGGTGCTGACCTACCAAACACCATCTCTTGGTGACACAGGGCGTGGACTTTGTTTCCCTCTGGGTTTGTTTGGACCAAGAAAGCTGAGCACAACTGAATAACCTTTAAGTTGTACCGTTTCATTCAACAGGTTCGCGGATTCCTGTGGATTCAAAAGTGTCTCTAGCTCTGTGATGGCTCCGCAGTGTCCTTTGTCGGGTTAGTGGTTAGATGGTGGAACCACTAATGCATGTCCCCAGAGACTCAGCGGATGGCCTTCTGTTGCAGGTCTCAGCCTCCCTTGAAACAGTTTTCCTTTTCTTCTCAGCCGAAGCTGCAATCCTCATGCACAGACCCCTGCCCACTGAAACCCCCTCCAGCACACTGGGAAAGGCAGCCCAGCCCAGGGAGCTCAGGGTCCCAGCCAGGCAGCCCTGGGCTGGCATCCTGGCTCTGCTGTTCACCAGCTATGTGACCCAAGCCTCAAGTTTCTTCGTCTGTAAAATGGGGATAAGATCAAACTTTGTAGAATAATTATAAGGAAAACTTGAGATAAACATGAGGTTTTATGTGTGGTATACAGTAAGTGCTTCGTAAATGCATCATAAAGGAGACACAAGGTATACTTAAGGTCTTCATGTATCATGGCATACAGTATGTGCTTTGTAAATGTATGAGTATGTATACATTTACGTAAGTTGTGGTATAAGCAAACAGGTACAACACCTGCCTTTATTAAGTTGGAAACTCAGAATGAAGAGACATGTGTGCATAGAATTGCTTAAGTCACAAGTGTTCATTATATAATTTAAAATGGAAAAAATTTAAATAAAGTTTAAAGATGAGGTGTTCCCCGCAAAGCTCACGTGAGACAATGCAAGAATGTTTAGAGGTGAAATGATTGAGTTAGAGAGCCTTAACCTAAAAGTGCATTAGTCCACTTGAATGGTATTGCCTGGGTGGAAACTAGGCAGGCAGGATGTGGTGGGTGAGGTGGTCCCTGGGGGAATGCCTTTGGGGTACACATGCTTTCCCCAGTGAGCAGAGCTAACTCTCTCTCTGCTCCCCGATTGCCAGGTCCTGAACTGCTTTCCTCTCCATATCCCTCTGCCATGATGTTCTGCCTCTCCTTAAGCCTGGAGCAGCGCAGTTGGCCATCTATGGACTGAGACCTCAGAAACAGTGAGCGCCAAATAAAACTTTTCTTCCTCTAAAATTGTTCTTGTCAGGTCTTTTGGTCACGGCAGAAAACAAGCTGATTCAAACAAGAGGGAAACTATTGCTTCAATATAACACCCTGTCCTGAGGGGATGGTCCCAAGACTGCTCATCTATTAATTCATCTGCTCTTCATAATAACCCTTAGGTAGTTTGCTAACCTTCCTTTTTCACAGATTTGGCGCCGAGATGTTAAGAAACTTGCCCTACACCACACTGCTGACAAGCTGTGCAGGCAAGATCTATGCTTTTAACCATTGAAGGGGAAAAGTGCCCGATTCAGCTTCCCTTGCATCATGGGCATCTCTGGGTCTGCAGGGTTCTGCAGGGTTCGTACAGCAGTCAGTAGCCGTGTGTGGATTTCTAAATTTAAATTAAAATAAAAGGAAATTAAAAATCCAGTTCCTTAGGCACACTAGCCACATTTAAAGTGTTCTACAGTGCATGTGGACAATGGCTGCCATATAGGACAGTACTGACATCGAACATTTCTGCCATCACAGAAAGTGCTATTAGCCAGTGCTGTTCTGGATGAATCTAGAAAATATTAGCCAAACAAAAGACTCAAATTCAATATATACTGCATGGGTTTTTTTTTTAATTAAATACCACCTCAGTGTTATTTGCACCTAGTACACATTTTTCTTTTTAAAAAATAAGACATGCTATATTAGCCATGAAGTTAACAAAATATAAGCATCCACATAGAATATGTCCTAAAGTGACTTCACTTACACAGCTTCTCAGGGAAACATACAAGCGACTTTCTTTTGCCTACCAGCCAGTGTGGGGTCGAACCTAGGAACTCACAGGCTGCTGGGTGGGGCTCCCTGTACCACCCCAATAGATGCTGATGCCCCATCTGCACAGCACCCTGGAGCTGGCTGGTTCCTACCAGAAACACAATGGAGATGCTGGCCCTCCCTTCCCTGCCCAGCATTCAATCCCATGCTGCAAAACCCATCTTCAAAGCAGTCTCTGAACTTGTTTACTGTCTAATCAGGGAACCCAGAATCCCAGGCTGTACAACGGGGGGAGAGGAAGACCAGAGATCAGGGGAAGTTTAAACCCACGTTTGGTGACGTTCCATCAGGTTCATGGCTGCCGGGAGGACGGGGGTGATCAATGAGGCTTGGAGCATCAAGGGCTGGGAACGTCAGAGCCGTGAGTGACAACAGGACTCAGAGCTGGGAGTGGCTCCTACCAGCCAGTGCTGCATCACCATTAGTGGATGGTCCACTTTCACCTATGGACAGCGCCTGGGAGTGGCCAGCCCAGGGCAGATTCGGAACTCTGGACATGAGGGCCCCACCTCGGCTGTCCTTTCCAGCTGCCTGAGATGGTCCTCTGGCTGCACTCAGGAAACCACCACAGCCTTCTGCTCAGCCTTGAGGGGTGACACCTCTGGCTCAGACCTAAGGACAGAGAGCTGCCTAGGCCCTGGTGGCAGTTCCTGGGTGGCACTGTCATTGTCACCCAGGAATGACCCATAGCAGACCTGAAATTAAGGTGCCCATGTATCCACGCATCTCAAGAGAGCTGGCTAGCCCAAGGCCACATGGCACGTTAACCAAAGTGGGAAGGGACAGGGCTGGAGGGAGGCTGGGAGCACTCAGAAAGCCAAGGCCTATCACCTGGCTGGGTGCAATGAACAGCTCCCACTGACCTTCCCTACCACTCCGCCCCTCCCTGACCCTTGAAAAACCACCCGGAAACGGGAATATCTGAAGAGCACTGAAACCTGATTCTATTTCCCCTTGGTGTGTCCTTGCAGGCCCAGAGGTTGACCTTGAAAGGTGCCTTCTCAGCCCGTTTCTTCCTCCACACTGAACAAGGCCTCCTGTCCAATCAGAGCTTATCCTGCCGTTCTCGTCCTCAGGAACCATCAATGGCTCCCAGGCCCTCCAGGGTACACTTCCCACTCTTCTGCCGGGTATTCAGGATGCTCAGCCTCCACTGCTGATCTTTCCTGGTTCATCTCCCACCCCTTTTCTTTTTTGCAAATGCTGGCTCTTCTGCTGGAGCAGAGTGTGTGAGACCACCCCACTCTATATGCTCTGCTCAAATCTTAGCTTGGCACCGTCATTGTCACTACTATCTGTTTCTGGGGCCAGAATCACCTCCAATTTTGAAAACCCTTTGGGCTCAGGGCCTAGCCTGTTGCTTTCTGTGGTCTACTCTTGGGGCTGGGAGTGTAGCTCAGGGGTAGAGCACTTGCCTATTGTGTGCAAGGCCTGGGGTTCATCCCCAGCCCCGCAAAAAAAGTGTGCACCTCTCACAGCCCTGCAGGAGTCTCCTGCATCCCTGTGTCTCCCCCTGCTGGCTGGAGGATGGGAACCCTGTCCTGCTGTAGCTTCACCCTCTAAATGCTTAACAGCAGTAAATACCTCATAAATATTGTTGAACGGTTTTTGATACTCATCCTAAGGGAACAAAAAGCTCTTTGTTGCCTTGGTAGGCGTTTAAGACAATACAGAAGTGGTTAAGACACAATACAGAGTGGTTATCATGGACAACAGGAATTGTGAAGTCAGGGAACTAAATCAGCATTAAGCACAATCTATAGAGATAAGTGACCTATCAACACTGGCCTGTTAACACTGTTATCCTGCCTTAGTTAAAGGCTGCCCTGGGAAGCAGCAGCTGATCTAAGTAGTACTCACAGGGTGGGGGAAAGCTACAGATCCTATGGGGCCACTCAACCTGCCACAAGCAGCCCAGAGAGGAAATGGAAGCACAACTCTCACCTTCTAGCAGGGGCCCCTTGGGGTCCTAACAGCTGCCTCTTTCCACTGCAGGCTTTCGAGGGCTGTGATCTCCGGTTACTAGCTGTGGTGCCATTTGCCAATGCAGATACTTGGGCCCCACCCCACAGGCCCACCTAAAATGTCTCCGTGGCTGGGGTGCAGGAATCTGCATTTTAAATAAACTCCTGAGGGACCCTTATGTTCATTAAAGTTTGCAAACCTTTCTTTCCTTTAAGATGATCAGGTCTGCAGCCAGAGGGAGCAGCAGCCCATCTGTGAGTACAGCTGCTTCTCCCATGCACAGCGCTGTGGCCGGGGACGCCAGCAGCCTGCACTGATCCGAGGGAAATGACCAGTACCTCACAGGTGGGTGGTGGGTCTCTGAAGGAGAGCACGGAGGGGGTGGCTACAGGCTGGCTCTGGGCTGGGTGGCTGCAGGCTGGCTCTGGGCTGAGCGCCTCCAGACTTCCCAGTGGGTGTTGGGAGGGAAAGTAACTCAGATTTCCTGTCTGTCCTGTATAAAGACATCCCCTGGCTCCAAGTCCTCCTATTCTCCTCCTTCTTCTCTAACTCCCCCACTCCTTTGGGGGAAACACGATCATGCAGTTCTCACAGGACCAATACCACATTAGTTTCTAGAGCAGATCCAGCACTGATGACCAGAGGCCGAGGGACACTGCCAAGGCGCCAGTGACCGCGTGTTCCGCTCACAGCAGGCCTGCTATGCCCCTGAATGGAGCCAGTGGATAATGTCAAAAATACGAATTGTGAGTGAGAAGGTGGGAGATAAGCCTGCAAGTGGCGGAGGACGAGTTCAGAGGTCCCCAGGGCTTCACTGGATTTAGGAGTAAGAGCAGAATCTTTGCCTGCAGTGCCCAAGAGCACGGCAACCTTTGGTCACTGCCTGGGGAGGCTCAGTGCCCTCGGGAGGCCAGAAGGCTAAGCCAGGCTGGGCTGAATTCCACGCAGCCCACCTGGAATACTCTTCTCCCCCTCCCCAGCCTCCCCATTTGGAAGTTCAAGACCAAGGTCACAAAGGCTTTCCAAGATCCCCCTTCTATAGAGTTCTCGATCAAAAAAACAAACAAAAAACGACTTGAAAGGCAAGTTGTAGAAGGAAGGGAGCCACGTCAGCCCGGTGTGGGCGGCCAGGGGGGCGAGCTTCAGTCCGGGAGGCTCACTCCTTCTTGGTGTGCTCCAGCACTCGGTAGGGAACCCCCGGGGTACTTCGGGAGCCGTGTTCCTCTTGCATGACTGGCAGTGTGGCAGGAGTGTAGATCTCGGAAATGCTGTCGTTGTTTTCCAGGGCCCCATAGGAAAAAGAAGCTTTGAGGTCAGGCTGCACCGTCATCCCCTTGTCATGCATGTTTTGCATCCCTGAAATGAAATCCATGCCCGTCGTTATGCAGAAAGGAGGCCCAAGAGGCTGCGCCTTCCTCCACCCGCCACACTAAGCAGGCGGCCAGGGGCCAGTCATGTGCACGCCCATTTCCTGAATGCTTTAGGTTGAAAAGAGAACACTCGGAAAGGGACAGTTGCTAAGCAACAGAGATAAGTCTTCAGGAAATATGCGCACAGATCAGCCACTGACCAGCCACTGTCTGGAGGAACCACCAGTGGACCTAGAATGAGATGGGATGTGTGTTTGGACCCATGGCGGGGTGGAAAGGGCACCATGCTTTGGATGTGGTAGATGCCAACACTCGACTGCTGAATGAACTCAGAAGTCAGAGCGCTTCACTGTACTGTTGAGGGATGAGAGTAACTTAGGCATCATGGACATGGGGGGGCCAGACGCATCATGATGCTTGGAGGGTGTTGATCTTCAACACCAACATCCCCTGTCCAAACGCAGGGTGACGTTCGGCCATGCTAGTGCTCTGTGGGCATGGGACGCTGGGTTTCTACTCACATTTGAAGGCAGAGATCTTAGTGAATTCCTTTAGCCTTACCCTGTCACTCCTCCAGTTAGGGGGGACCTGGTTACTTTTGAGGGCATCTCTTCTCTTGTCAAGGAATAGACTCTCAGATTCTCCTGTCCCCAGGATGAGTTAGAAGAAGCTGACTGCAAAGTGTCTTCCTGAAGGCATCATGGGTAACAGCTGGCATCTGATGGCTTAACGTGCCCCTAAGTAGTAATAGTGCCCATGGTGACAGTGGCCGAGGTCTGAGTGTTCAGATGGTGGCAGACACTGTTCTGAACAGCTGGACAGTTGTTTCTCACACGACCCTCACAGCTGCTGCTGAGGAGAGTGAGGCAGCTGGAGGCTCACTGCCCGAGAACAGCAGCTCTCCAGGGGCAGTGCCTGGCTGCCAATCCAGGGGGCCACACTCTGAAGCCACTCTCAGCTGGAAGGCTGTGTGGTCTCCCCACCTATCTGCACTGAATCCCCTAAGGATTCTAGGACAGAGGTAGCTGCTGCCCTCATTTCCTAGATAAGAAAACAGATTCAGTGGCTGGGGTTGTGACTGAGCGGGTAGAACGCTCGCCTTGTACGTGTGGGGCCCCGGATTCCCTCCTCAGCACCACACAGGAATAAAATATAGGTACTGTGTTCACCTACAACTAAAAACATACTAAAAAGAAAGAAAACAGACTCACAGAGAAGGAGCAATGTGCCTGGAATCACACAGCCAGCGAGAGATGGGGCTGGGCTCTGCTCTTCTCCAGCCTGCAGCTGGCCTGGGAGCACCCAGTCTGTGGAAGGCCCCTTCCTCCATGTGGCACATGACTCAGCTGATGGTCATTGGAAGGGCACAGCTCAAGAGTCTGTGGTTTGGATTTGGGTTTGGGTGACTGTTCCTCAGGGAAGAGGAGTGGCTTACAAGGCATTGTTTAGCTTTTGATCTTGACAATGTTCCCCAGGCAAAGAGGACCAGGAACACACCTACAGCTGAGCAGATTCAGGTTTATGGATGCACCCCAGTAAGATGCACGCCCTGGGAAGCCAGGGGTGTGTGAGTCACAGGGTGTCAGAAAGGATTCATTCTGGGATTTGGGGTGGGGTGGGGGGGTGGGGAGGGGTCGAGGAAGGGAGGCTCTGCTGTGGCTCCAATGCTGTCCAGAGAGCAGGGCTACTTCTCCTGGGATCTTAGTAGGTCTTCTCTAGGAGGGAAGCCTAGGCTGAGGCTGCAGATGTGACTGGCAAGGAGGCAGGAGGGTCTCACCCTAGCCTGCGGGGTGCAGGGTGGGCTGCTGGTCTTTTTATACGGTGTGGACAATGTTTATGTTTTGTCTGTGCTCAGACATGACAACAGAGTGGCCCTGTTTGTGTGGTCACCCATGATGGCCAGCGTGGCCTTGTGCTATGGTTTGGATCTGGAATGTCTCCCAACAGCTCATGCGTTGAAAGCATGTTCCCCAAGGTAGCAAGGTGCAGAGGTGGGCTCTCAGGCAGGACTGGATCCTGAGGCTCTGACCTCATGAACGGATTAATCCACTGACAGCTGGGAGTTGGGAGCCGGGTGGAGGGAGGTCACTGAGGCTGTGCCCTTCCTCTCCCTCTGCTTCCTGCCTGCAGGAGCTGAGCAGCTTCCCTCCACCATGACATTTCTGCCTTGGGCTTGGCCTGTCACAAACTGGACTGGAATCTGTGAGCCAAAATAAATCTTGCCTCCCTCAAATTTTTCTTGTCAGGTATTTTGGTCACACAATAAGCTTATCTGCCACTGGTGATCTATGACATGGTTTCTGCTCAGCAGGAGGCATCTGAGCCAGCAGAGGACCAGTGGGATCCTGGGGTGGGGGTGGGGGGCTGCTTCTCTCTTCTCAGGTTCACGTAGCGAATTTTTGGAATTTGGAGACCTCTCGAGCAGCAGCTACTGGTCTGCTGTGTGGATAGCAATCCAGGCAGACCACAGGCCAGGTCCTCCTGCTGACCAGGACCAAGGGGCTGGAAGACAGACTGTGGCAGTTTCGTTGTGCCTGTGCTACCAGGTCCAACAAGCGTTTGAAAACTTGCAAAGTTTTTTAAAGCAAAAGGGAAATGAAACAAAATTCAAGCTGGCATCTACCATGTCCCAGACACGGTGCAAGAGGCCCTTCCGTATGACACCACTGCCCCGGAAGGAACCTAGTTTACAAGTGAGGATGAGCAGGTGGCAAAGGTGGGATTTGAATCCAAGTCATCTGCACCACAAGCCCACACTCTTCACAGGACAGAACACGCCTTGAATCAGGAGTGTCCTGACAGCCACCCTGATAGAGTAGGGTCTCCCTTCCTTGACGTCTGACCTCCCCCTGGTCACAGGGTACAAAGAGAAAGTTCAAGAAGCACACCTACAAACAGGCCACAGAATATTGGAATCTAAGATTACCCGAGGTTACCTTCTATTTTCCACCAAAAATGTCTGTATATATGAATATACAAGTATTTGTATAGATATATACACATACGTAGTTCACAAACACGAACGCACATACACATACACATACACGCACACACGGAGTTGACACCTCACCTATCTGGAATTCAGCTATCCAGCGCCCTCATCTATCCGGAACACAGCCGAGAAACAAGGAAGTAAGCAAAAAAGGCGTCTGAGCAGCCAGATTAGACGTTTCAAGGTCCATGCACCAAAGCCCATGCACTTGACTCCTAGGGGGAGCCTCGGGTCCCCACCTTGGAGCTCACTCCACTTGGTTTTACACGTAACTTGAACAAGCGGGGTGAAATGGGAAGAGTGACGCGGAGCTGCCGTCCTCAGGCAGGCTGGTCACAGCGAGAATGACAGACAACAGCTGGACAGCACGAGGTGAGGAGGTAATACAGAAAGGACAATCAACTGCTTTCACTGGGGATGGGTGCTAAGGGATGGGAGCACCTCGGTCAGCCCTGAGGACACTCCTGTGTCACAGGATCACCACCCAAAAGCTGCTCTGTGTCATCAGTGTGTCTGCATTTTGTTAATGAAGAATAGAGACTATGTTTTGGAGAGAGAGCTCCACCTTATAAGTTTAAGTTCACGGTCACTGGCAACCTACAGATTCCAGGACAGCAACCCTCCCTGGGGCTGGCCCAACACCTGACTCCCCCAGCGGGAATCCCTCTAGGCTGTACACAGCACTCTCAGCAGGCCCCGCCATTCCCTGCTGTGCAGGCCATTCCCTGCTGTGCAGCGCTGGGCGGATTCAGGATTCACAAGTTTTTGTTACTGTCCAGGCTTAAAGGCATCTGACCTTGTGCTTCTCAGCTCCCTGGAAAATTAGAACAATCCACTCCCTTGTGGAATCCAGGGAGTGAGGTTATAGGATTTGAATTTCATTCATCCTGTTTTCCTTCCCCTCTCTGATCATTCCATTCCAACAAGATGAATGGATTTTTCCACTTTCAGGCATGAAGCCTGGCGCTGCAGATCATAATTACATTCAGTGTGCATCAGGGTTTTCTCTAAAAGATCCCGAAATAGTCAGGGGAACGGGCAAGATGTACTCTCAAAACCATCCGAGGTGCCTTAGCTGTTGCCTCCTCTTCTGCACAATGAGATTAAAAAAAAGAAAGAAAGAAAGAAAGAAAAAACAGTCACACCGTAAAGGCACAGAACACAGTTCCTGTACCCAGCCCAGGGCTGTGCGCGTCTCTTTTGCAACAGGAAATGGCAGTCATTCTATACCGAGGGCCAGTGGGACACGTGGGGTCTGAACGTTACCTGGCATGGCATCCATGGAAATGTAGGGCTCAAATGGAATGGCCCTCTTCCTGTTCCGTGTGATTAAGAAGACTCCCAGGAACGCAATGAGGCACCTGAGGGAGGGAGATAAGGGCCTCTTGCAATCACAGGTGCTAAGGGAAAGGCCCCACAGCCCAGAGAGCGGCCAGGCTGGGGGGTGGGTGGGTATGAACACTAGTTGAATAATAACAGCCCAGCAGCCCACGCGCCCCGCGCCCCGCGCCCCGCAGGCACCAAGCTGTAATCAGAATAAATTAGACTCTCCTGATTCTTTCACTTCTGCTGGGCCAGGAGTCTCAGAACCTTGTCTTTAAAAACAAATATAAAAACCCCCCAAACCTTAATGGCCTAGATTCCATCACTACAGAGTACAGAAAAGTAAAAATCTTTAAAAACTGAAAAGGGGGCTTCCTGTGCCCCCCCCAGCCCCCCTCTATGCTCCAGGTAGGTGTGCAGTCTTCCCCAGTATTTTTCTATTTCTTCCTGATAGCTTATGTAAACTAGTTTCTAAAAATAGATGTGTAATTTACATGCAATAAAATCCAAGAACCCTAAGTGTACATCTGGGTGGCTTTTGCTTCTATCATCGCGTCCCAGGCCCAGACAGAACCATTTCCCCCTCGTTGGAAGCTTTCTGTGCCCCTTCCAGATGCAACAGGAAATGGCAGTCATTCTGCACGGAGAGAGCCTGTGCCTGACTTCTCACTATGGACGCCATTTGCCTATTTTCAAATTCTCCTTGGTCAAATCGTACAACCTCTACTTCTTATATCCAATAAATTATTTTTAAGATTCATCTACTTGGGCTGGGGTTGTGGCTCAGGGACAGAGCGCTTGCCTTGCATGTGTGGGGCCCTGGATTCGATCCTTAGCACCATATAAAAATAAACAAAATAAAGATATTGTGCCCATGTATAATTAAAAGAAAATAAAAGATATAAAAATAAACAAAATAAAGATATTGTGCCCATGTATAATTAAAAGAAAATAAAAGAAAGATTCATCTACTTTTTGCATGTATTAATAATTCATTAGTTTTAGTTGTGTAGAACCCATCGCCTGAATATTCTATACTTTTTTCTGCTCTCCTGTTGAAAGACATTTAGGGTGTTTCTCATTGGAGCTTATTATAGATAAAGCTACTATAAATACTCATATTGGAGACATTTTACCAACATATGCACTCATTTCTTTTGGTAAAAATCTAGATGTGGAGGGCTGGGGTTGTGGATCAGCAGTAGAGTGCTCGGCTAGCAAGTGCAAAGCCTTGGGTTTGATCCTCAGCACCACACAAAAATAAAGGTATTGTGTCCAATTACTACTACTACTAAAAAAAAAAAAAAAAGAGAGAGAGAAAGACATCTAGATGTATGAATTGCTGGAACATGGGGCAGGCCCCACTTTTTAAAAAAAATTTACCTTTTTTTTTTTTCCATGTAACGCACCCTACAAGGGGTTCTTTGTCAGCACCTACAGGCTGGCCTCAAGTTTTCAAATGGCACCGTAGCGTTTTACTATACAAATACAGCACAACTAATTTACCCTATGTCATCGCTATTTGCTTACCTCTAATTGTTAGCTTATATAATTAATTTAAAAATTAAATACTTCATGTGTCTTTTGTGTTCCCCTTCAAATGTTCTTCCAAGTTAAGTTTTACAAATTGAATGCTACATTAAAAAAGTATGCTTATTTAACATGTTTATTGATGTTGACAATAAACATGGTCTCCCCTGCCACTTACTGTGAGACACAGAAAAGTCTGGTGGTTCATTTTCAAAATCTAGTATTCCTCCTTAATTGGATCCAATTGTAGCCCTTCCCTTTTGCCCACCCTAATTCTAAAATTAGCCAATCGCATTGGATTGTCACCCTGAACTCCTCCAATCAGGGTGAAGGACAGCACTGGCCATGTTCAAGATGTAAGCAGGTGGACTTGCTAGCCAGGTTCGGGAAGCCCCCTCTGCTAGAAGCATAGGTTTGCCTTGCCCACCCCCCACCCCACTTCTGAGCCTGTGTTTGATTTTTCGTGGTACCTCCTTATTTCTACTGTAGCCAACAGAATATTATCAATCCTGTTAAGTTTCTGCAAAATGTTGGTCTCTTATGGAACTTTAATGTGTTTCTTAGATGTGGGGTAAGGATGAGAGCCTTTTCATGGGTCAAAAAGGTATTGTTTTAGAAATGACCAAGAGATTAACGCCCCAAAGAGAAGAGAGGAGGAGGAGATGGAGGAGATATTGAGGAGTAAGATGGAAGGTCCAGACTCACAGCTCCCTGGCTCTGAGGGATCCTGAGACTGAAGCCTGGATGGAGGGTGAGCCTGCCTGGAGCCCAGCCCGCTGCTGTGCTTGGGCCAGCGTGCCCGGGACTCACCCGAGTGCAAACATGCAGATGTGCAGCGCATCCTCCCCGACGAAGTCCAGGTAAAACACTGCACCTGTGTCAGCCAGGAATAAAAACGTTACACATCTGTCTGGGATGGGCTAGCTCTCTTCCCTGCATGGAACAGATGCCTGGAGACATTAGAGTAACGACTAAAAGCCACCTAGGGGAACAGATGGTCTCCCTGCAAGCCCCCCTCTCATCTTTACCTTTCTTTTTTCTTTTTTGAATGTTTTGAGATAATATCAGACTCTCACAATGGCAGAGTCCCACGTACCTACCCTTCCTCCAGCTTTTGATCATGCCACAATGCATGATCAAAATCAGGACAATGACACTGCCATGATGCTCCTAATGGATGCCACCGACCTTCTTTACCGTTCTCACACACACGCACTCACATAAGGCATGCACGCACATAAGGCACGCACGCCTTCGCCCCTCCTCACTGTTGGGCTGGATACACAGACCCTGTGTCTGCATCCTCAGGGCCTCTGGGCCATGGTGGCCAGCGGATGCCCAGCCAACAGCTCCACTATTGCAGTGTGGGGATACCGTGCCCACTGTGCTGCCCTGCAGCCTACCTCTGTGTGGCATCACTGCAACCCCATGGCTTCCTGCTGTATTCCAGGACTCCTACCCCCTTCTTGACTCATTTCTGACTCAACCACAGCATTTGCTATTGCTTGCAACCTTGACCTGTTTACCATCTTCTTGACCAAGGTTCTCGGTTGGGACTCAGCTGTGGCTGCTCTGGGTGGAGCCGCTCACAGCCCAGGTCCTGGGAGGCTGTGTGCCCTTGTTCCTGCCCCTGAGAATGGATCTGGGTCCAACCTGTCCTAAGTGCAGTGCAGAGCTCGCCGCTGCCCAGCCGGGCCCTCTTCCAGCGGAGGTGCTGGGTCCTTATCAGCTTGTTTACTCTGAGGACTTTTAGTCACCATTGTAATTTAAAAAATAAACATCAAGCTCATTGATATACTTGAAACCTTGCAAGCTGCTTGAGGAAAAAACTGAAAAAAAAATTGGGGGTGGAATGGAAGAAAAGGGGACTCTAATTATAATGATCGCTTTCTGAGCACCTACGATGTTGCATACGCTTCAAATACTCACAACCTCTAAAAATGATGTAGAACAGATGTCTGATCACTTGGCTAGTAGGGGCTGGGGTGCTGCAGATGACGACCCAGATTGTTGAAGAAACCCTGCCTGGGATCTCCAAGAAGTATGGGGCAGAGGCACTTGGATCATATGTAATGCTATTCTAGGAGCTAAGTGTGATTACTCCCATTTTGGAAACATGGAACTGAGCTCAGAGAGCTTAAGTGACTTTGCGAAGGTCACACAGTGAGCATGTCTGCACTGAGATGCTAACCCAGGTCTTGCACATTCTCCATGAAGTCACATGACTCCACAGGCAGAATCAGTCAATGGGGCAGTGGTCAAGCCCCTACCCACTGGGGTGATGCCCCTGCTGCTATGGCAGAAGACAGGAACCTATGACGGCCCTTTACCTGCAGTGATGGCCACAGTGGTGGACAGGATGTAGCCCACACTGGCAATCAAGGAGGAGTCGTAGATCTGGGAGGCTTGGCTTAGGAACCTGCAACACAAGCACTCGGTCAGGGGCCGGCGAGGGCTGTGACAGTGCAGCTTGGTCTGAAGTGTGAGGGGACATCCTCAGGTTAGGAGAGTGGCCTCCTCACATTAGGGACACCTGTGTCCTAGGTCTGGGGCCCACCCCAACCCCCAAGTGGGCACCACCTTCCTGTTTTGCACTTTTGATTGCAGGATCCCATCATCTGAGATGCCGGTCCCACCTCTTCCCACCCTGGAAAAAGCCACTCCTGGATCTCTTCCACCTGCACCCCTGCCTAGAAATGCTTAGAGCACATGTCACAATTTGCCTGGTGCTGTACTTATTTTTTAAAATTTTCTTCTAAATTCAAAATAATGTTGTGATCATTGCAGTAAAAACAGAAAAAAGAGAGAAAACTAGGTTCCCTCCTGATCTCTGCATCTGTGATCAGCGCTCTCTCAGGTAGGACACATTCCTCATCCTTTCTGGGGTGGCATTCTGGGGAGGACACCCCGCACACCGTCAGCTGTAGCTCTCTGTTTATGGGTTGTCCCCCATCAGGGCTGTGAGTGCCTTGGGCAGGGACTGTGGCTCTGTGCTGGGCGCCCTGGGAGGAGCCAAAGCCCCTGGCAGGCATCGGCGTATGCCCTGGGGCTCAGCAGAGGCTGCACCAGGCGCTGACTCCCTGGGGACAACTGGAATTCTCTGCAGTGGACTAAAAATAACCACAGTCACAATGGTGGTGGTGATGACCATCTCAGGAAGAGCTCATGAGCACAGGACGTTATCTGGGGACTGCACTGGGTCTGTATGACGCCTGGGCAGGGACTGCTCTCCCTGTGATGGACAGCCCGCGCCCCGGGGAGGCTGGGCAGGAGGCTGGGAGCTGGACGCCTGAGCTCAGCTCTGGGCCCTGCCACTCCCCAGCTCAGTTCCCCATGTACAGAAAGGGAACAGCACCTCCCTCCAGAGGGTGCTGTGAGGACCAGAAGAGCAAGTCCTGTGAAGCACAGCGCGGCCCTGTGGGGGACCCTGGGGGCCTCATGGCTGTGGACACCAAGCCCAGGGCTGGCTTCTGAGCTGAATGAGCCTCGTGCCCCTCCGCAGGCTGGCCACCTGCAACATTGCTGGGGCAACAGGGCTCAGGGCGAGGCCCAGGCCGTCCTCGGGGCTGCTGGTTCAATTCCTGTGCTGAGAGAAAGGAATGCACACTCTCGGACTTGGGAAGGTTTGGGGTGATTTCCCCGAGGAACAGAAATGACATCCCTTACTTTCCCACCCGGCAGACAAGTGGCCGCCTCCTAGGGAGGGCAAGGCCTCGCCTGAAGTCCTCAGATGGACGCATGCCCGCCGGGAGAAGAGGGGGAGCCAGGCGGCCTCACCACAGGTCCTCACAGTGTGGGGGAACAGAAAATCCACCCTGGGCTTGTCTTTCAGGCGGCACAGAGTCCTTCCTCGTGACAGCTCAGCGCCCTTGTCCCTCCTATAACCCTGGAGGTCAACCCCGGGATCGGATCCTCCCCATGGCTTTAAAACCCAATGCTGTCAGATCCAGAGGACACAAGAGGCCTGCGTGGCAAGGCTCAGGCGGGAAAGCCCTGTGACTCACGCGGCCTGGTAGATGGCGGTGGCCACCATGCACACGAACATCACGTAGAAGATGGGGTAGTCGAGCTGCAGGTTCCCCTGGATGGACAGGACCAGCATCCCAGCCACGGCCTTGACTGTCACCACTGTCATGGAGCCTGCAGATGGAGGACCAGGGCGCGGGTAGTCCCCGGGAGATGCGGGAGTCAGGCGGGCGTATGACCCCTAAGGACCTGGTGAGAGATGAGGGTCGGCCAGTAGCCAACCTGCTAATGGTGAGATGAGACATTTGGGTTGTTTCTCTTCACCTCTCATCAAAGACATGGGGGCAGCAGAACAGACAGGTGTTTCCAGCTCGCCTCAGGGGGCCAGTGTGCTCAGTCCTCTGCACCTGAGTGCCCACCCTGCGCCCGGCTCGCAGCAGAAGCACAAGGCCCAAAGGAGCTTCAGGTGGATCAAAGAACCTCCTTGGAGCAGCAGCCTCGTGGCGGCCACAGGAAAAACACGGTGAGCCAAGGGCCGGGGAGCTTTTCAATGCTCAGCCATTTGTATTTTTAAAAACGTTTCTTTATCCCAAGAAGTTTCCAGTGTTTCAGAACGCACGCCCCGTGCCACACACACACACTGCCCATGCGTGCGTGCTTATGTATTTCAGAACTCTGGTCCCACAACACTGTCCTCGTGTGGCATATACATTATAAAACAAGGACAGGAAATATAATTTAAAAGGGAAATGAAAAAATATCACCTAGGTAGCCTCAGTAGAGCGTCCCATCACCCCCTGGAGACCATGGCCTTGCCCCGGGGTGCAGGACGGCTCCTGGGCACACACCGTCAGGTGCCCTGCCAGGCAGGGGTTACAAGAACAGACCCCGAGCAGGAGGTGAGTGGGGCCTGGCCCAGTCCCTGCTCTGCCCTCTCTAGCCACAGCCTGCTGCACAGTGGCTTCTGGGCCCCTCGGCCACTGCACCAGTTTCCAAACAGCCACTGAAGATGGGCTCGTGCCACCAGGCTGCCCTTGGGAGACCAGGGGACTGGCCCGCTGCCTCAGAACTGTGGCCTTCGTACCCCTGAGGAGAGGATGCTTCTGGACCCAGGTTCCTCCAACCCACTTGGAAAGTCGTCACCAAGGAACGAAGGACCTATTGACATTGTGACAGGGTGAGCCTCAAAACACCATGCTCAGCCAAAGGAGCCAGTCACCAAGGCCACGGGCTCCACACAGAGAAGACGCTCGAGGGCAGAGCTCTGGGTGGGGGATGCTGGGCTGGGCAAGGGACGCTGGGCTGGTCGAGGGGACGGGAAGTAACTGTTCACAGCACGAGGTTTATTTTGGGGGTGACAAAGCCGTTCTAGCACTAGAGGAGGGCTGCAGAGCTCCGGGGCTGCACTAAGAGCCCAGACATGTGGGCTTCCAATGGGTGGAGGGGGTTATGCCATGTAAATTCTAACTCCATAAACCTGTCCCCCCCAAATAATAAATTAGAACAATGCAAACCTGTGCTCAGGGATGGCTCCTGGGGGAGGGGCAGAAGAGAAGCCACAGGAACCGGGTCTTCGTGCCCATCCCACGTAAGCCCTGATCCTCTCGGCCACTTGGGGTTCTCTTGTACCCCTCTTTAGAGTGAGGACAGTGGCTTAAACAGGGAAAGTCACCAGCCGGGGACCATAGCATCAGCAAGAGGCAGCGCCCAGCGGATGCGTGCCCCCTTCTCCTATGAAGTTACATGCAGATGGGTCCGTCTGTCCACTAACCAGACTCAGGAGCCATCTCCCCAACAGAACCATCCTTCTGAAAGGACAGGAGAGGGATCGAGAGAGGGAGAGAGGAATGGGGGGAGAGGGAGAGAGGTGGGGGAGGGAGGGAGACGGGGAGAAGGATCTGGCTTTGCCTAGAGCCCAGCATGGATTCTGCGTGGCCCCTGGAGGGCTGCGCCACCTCTGGCCTCCTCTAAGTGACCTCCGGGCTCGCCTCCCTCGCTCTGCCTGAGGCTTCCTCCCTACAGGTGCCAAGGCCCCACTCACACAGCCCACGTGGTTGCCAACCTGCCCAAGGCCATCGCCTCCTTCTACGGAGGCTCCCGAGGACAGAACGAGTCTGTCCTCTGTCCCAGCTCCCGGCTCTTGGGAGGCTCCTTTGAGTGAGGATCCTGGAAATGAAGGGGCTGCCTCCCTCAGCAGGACCCCTGCTCCATCAACAAAACCCCCATTTCCTTCTGAGGCCACTGGCAAAACCCCACCCCCAGGCCCCACTCACCGAGCAAAGCCACCAAGAGGAGAATCACGACGATGCTGTTGGCGTTCTTCTCCTTGTAGAAGTAGAGCAGCAGGCAGAAGAGAATGATCTCCACCAGCTACGGGGCAGCAAGGGGAGGTCAGAGCGGCCACCGAGGGCCCAGGGGGCGTCCCTGGCCTGCCGCTCTCTCAGTTACGGGCCCTCTGAGTTAAAGGGGCTGAATACCAGGTGTTTCTACTGCCAGATCCAGTGGGAAGGAGACGCCCCGGGAGGGGTCCTGTCCCTGGGCAACACGGGACAGCTGCCGCTCCCTCAGGCCAGAGCTTGGAGGGAGATGGGCCGCCTCATCAGGTTGAGATGGGCTGTCCCCCGTCACTCCTCCAGGGGTGTCCCCATCACACCTGGGTGGGTTGAAGCGGAGACACTTGTTCACCCAGCCATTTGGTCAGGAACACAGTGTTCACCCCCCTTGTCCCAACCCAGGAGGAGGAAGGCATCTGGAGTGAGACGCAGCTGAGCTGTCGCCAGACTGGTGCGTGACCTTGGGCAAGTTGACCTCCCTAACCCTCAGCCACCCGCTCTGAGTCGCAGGGATAATAATCCTAACTCTCCAGGGACAGAGGAGGCGCTTACTAAAGAGCCTGGTCACGGGGCAGGCCTTGTTCCCAGCGCTTTATCCCTGTCACACTCATCAGCAAAACAATTCTATGAAGCGGATGTGGTCACAGTCCCAAGTGAGCCAACGGCAGAACGGGGCTTTGAACCTGGGCAGCCTGGGCAGCCTAGAACATGGACAGTCTCACCAGACCACGTAGTTGAGGTCAGGGCCAGGCGTTCCGTTGGCAGAGCTGACTACCAGACGCCCAGCCTGAGCTCTGAGAGGTGCCCCCCACCCCGCGTCAGTGACTGTCCTTTCCACCTTCAGAGCCCAGGCGTTTGGCCGCGGCTTCCCCATCAGCCACCAGCATCCAGCAACTCAAAGCAGGAACTGGGACAGGGCTCAGCGCCCCGCCAACCTCACACCCTACAGAATCTGCTTCGCAAAGAAACCAACGCAGAAACAACAACGGGTGTTTGAAAAAGAAAAGAAAATAATGTCCTTATGATTAGAGGCCCTAAGACACAAGCCGTTTCTGTCGGGAGTCACCCCTGCTCCAAAGACTAACTTCCCCATACCCCGAGAAGAGCCGTCCAATGGTGAGCCCTGCTGGCTCACATGATCCTTACCGACCAATCAGACTAGCCCTGCTGGCTCACATGATCCTTACAAACCAATCAGACTAGCCCTGCTGGCTCACATGATCCTTACCCACCAATCAGACTAGCCCTGCTGGCTCACATGATCCTTACCGACCAATCAGACTAGCCCTGCTGGCTCACATGATCCTTACCCACCAATTAGAAAGCACCCCATGCCAACTGTCAAACCCTTCAACCGTTAAACTGTCATAACTGTCAAACCGCCCCCTGGCTCTATAAATATGCAGAGCTGTTCCTCAGTAAACAGGCATTTGCTCCGACGACGTTTGTTCATTCTTTGTTCATTCTTTCAGTTTCCTCGTCCCCTGCTTCTCCCCGGCCTTCGTTGCCACAGTCAGGGTGTGACCTCCTGTTGGGAGGATTCTGGTTACATTAACAATCTCATTTGCACGAGGCCATCATAATCATCTTCCGTTGCTAGGGACACCCCACCAGGCAGATGTGGGGGTCACCACCAACAGCTCCAGGTCGTGCCTGTGTTCAGCAGGGGTGGGCTGGGTTGGGGTCCCAATCTTCCCGATGGTTCTTCGCGGTTCAACGAGTGCTCCAACAGCCCTTGGCGCTAAGTCCCAAGGTGGCTGCCGGGGCGCTGGCGTCTCCCGAGAGGCCCTGAGTCCTGTGAGGACTGTCACACTCATCAGCAAAACAATTCCATGAAGCGGATGTGGTCACAGTCCCAAGTAAGCCAATGGCAGAACGGGGAAATCAGAATCTCACTGATTTCTTAACCCTCCATGTCTGGCTCACGGGAAGCATGCAGTAAATAGTTATTAATCTGGTCTGGCCAAGTCCCTGGCTGGAAGCGCTGCCTCACAGTGATGACAGAGTGAGACAAACTGACTCTGGGCATCTGCCTGGTGCTGGGTGACCTACACGCCACCTCATGTAGCTCCAACCACAATCCCAAGTCCAGTGATTCTTGCCACGTCACAGAGAAGAAAACAGAGAGAGAAACTGACTTGCCCAAGGCCACACAGCACATGAGGGATTTGTGCTCAAGACTCCCTAAGTGAAAGGGCTGCTGGGGCGAAGGCTTCCTGGCAGGGGCAGGACCTTGGCTCTGTCCTGTGCACACTTCTCCATGCCCACTAGGGAACTTTGGACCTGGCTGGCAGTAGGGAGATGGTCAGGGGAATCCATCCTCTTCCTGTGGCCTCTCAGAGGAAAAGGATATTCCAGGGAACTCGAGGCCCAGTCAGGGTCCCGGCTGCTCAGATCAGAGGAAGACAGTGAACACCAGGCAGCTGGCCCTAGGGGAGCGGGTGGCCTGCTGCCTCGGACGGGACAGCTAACCTCATGGAGCCCCAGCGGCCCTTCCTGGCCTTCCATCAGCCGCCAACAGCTGGGTGGCACCAGGGAAATAACGTGCTTAAACCTTTTATGATCTCAACTTGTCACAAAGATTTTCACTGTGAAATTCTGGATGAAAGATGAAGAATAAATGAAAATGAGTCAAAGTTCCATCTCAGAGACGACTTCCTGGAACTTGTTTTTTTCATGTGGTTTCCACAGATAACAGTCTATGAACCAACCTGAACAGCCCCAGAAATGTGAGGCTGGCATCATGCCATGGGTGGCTCCAGCTGTCACTGAGGACGAGTGGTATCCACACTCCTGTGAACTGCGACTCCCGCCAGCCTGGCCTCAGAGACCGTGAGACGTGCTGTGATTCCTGGAATCCCCTACTGCTGGGCACTGAGGTTTCTGCTTCCTGGACCCGATCCCCTCCTGCTATCTCAGGTGAGGTCCTGGGGGCCTTCTCTTACCGTGTACAGGAGGAAAGGCCAGCTCACGAGGTGCCTGGTGATGTTCTCGCCCGTCATCTTCTCGTGGCTGTTGGGGGCGAAGGTCACCAGCAGGTAGGTGCCCACGATAGCCAAACCGCAGCCCACGAAGGACAAGACATAGCGCCCTGCAGGGAGGGAGGGGCTGTCAGTGGCCTCTGGGGGACAGGCCCAGAGCAGGGGGTGCCTCAGTAACACAAGGTCAGGTTTCCCTTGCAGCACCTGAGAACTGTTTGTATTTGGGGGTTTTCTTTATTATCTTCCTTAATGCCCATTCTTTCTTTTTCTTTTTCTTTTCTTTTTGATAACAGGGACTGAACCCAAGGGTGTTAAACCACGGAACCACACCCTAGCCCTTTCGATTGCTTTTTATTTTGAAACAGAGTCTCATTTTGTTGCTTACAGCCTTGCTAAATGGCTGAGGCTGGCTTCAAACCTGCAATCCTCCTGCCTCAGCCCCCAGAGCTGCTGGGATTACAGGCGCATGCCTCCATGCCTGGCTCTGTTGTTTTTTTCTGAAGTACTCTCTGTGATCTAAAATGATCTGAGTTGGCTGTTTGCTTGTTTACTGTCTCCCCAACACACATTCACACCGAGAGACTAGCATCTCTGTGGGAGCAGGAGCCCCGTCTGCTATATCCCCAGCACCGACAACACAGCATGGCACTCGGTGATTGGGGGGAACGCTTCTTCCCTGCTCCTCAGGTTTCCATGTGGAGGGACCTCTGTTAAAGTAACTTGTAACACTGACGGTCCATGTTTTCCACTGGGTGGAGCTGACCTATTCTTAAAAGTTTAAACCTAGGGGTTTAGATATTGGTCTCAGGGCTAATTGGGAGCTGGGGCACATTGTGGGAGCTGTGAATAAGTTCTTGGGGCTGCATACCTAAGCTGCAGGCTCCAATCCTGCCTTTATTGGTAACAGTGAGAACATCCCGCCTCCTGGGTTTGACCCTATTGCTCTGGAACTCAGTGGGCCTTTTCCCAGGCCTCAGAGCTCCCAGTAATAGATGCTCAATAAATGCAGACCGGATGGAGTGAATGAAGGCCCATTTTCACAAGTCTCACAGAAGGTTCTGGTGTGTAGCCTGGCCTGGGGACCAGTGATCACAACACCCAGCTCGGGGGCGCTGAGGACAGTACAGAATCACAGACAGGGACAGGCGGCGGGCGGTCTCTTAATTGGGGTGAGCTGGTTTTATCTTGAATAAAAGACACAAGCATAAAACGCAGGACGGGGATCGAGGGATGGACTTACTCAGAAAGTCTCTAGGTTTCCATTTTTCTTTGATGAATATGATTCCTATGATGGCGCTAGCTGGAAGGAGAGAGGATGAAGAGAGAAGTGAGGCTGCTGTCACTCAGGACGTCCCTCTGCCTGTGCCCTCTCACTCCCAGGAGTCCAGGCCCCTCTGTCCCTGTTCCTCCACCTCGGGAAGGAGACCCTCCGAGTCTCCCACGGTCCCCAGGAGCCAGACAACGCCCAGGAGTCACGGTGGAGGCCCCTCGCTGGAGGCGGGTGCTGTCGTTGGCTCTATCAGACACGTGGGGACACTGCGGCTGGACGGGGTGAAGGACCCAGCCAAGATCATGCGGCCCGTGAAGTGAGCCAGGCTCTGGCTTCCCCATCACAACGTCCACCTTGGTGGCTCCCCCGTCCTTTCCTCTCCTCGACTCTTCCATGTCTGCAGATGCTAGGACAGGGCCAGCGGTCACTGTGAATGGACCTGGCTCACTCTCCCGAGGCGATTCCCAGCTCTCAGTCTAGGAGATGTGCTGCTGGATCCAGCTGCCCCTTGCTGGGTGCTGACCGTCAGTAGCTTGAAGGGAGCCACAGTGGGCTGACCACCCTTGCTCGGCTGATCAGCAGCCCCGTGGACCAGCTGCTGCTTTTCTCCCTGTCCGCCTTCCTTTCTTTTCTCCTGTCTCTGGCTCTTTCTGTCTGTGAGTCAGTTTATCCACATTCCACTGAAAATAAAACTACTTCTCTTGAGTTATAGGGGCAGTTAAATAAGGTAATATTTAAATTAAATATTTAATTCAAATCACCTTGGTACACAGCAAATGCTCTATAACTAAACTATTATCATTAAAGTACCTAGAGCAGTGATGGATAAGCCAGAGGTACCCAATGAATGGCTGTCGTCGTTGTGATTATTATTTGCAGTGCCAGAGATTGAACCCAGGGGCGCTTTGCCACTGAGCCACATCCCCAGCCCTTTTTATTTTATTTAAAGACAGGGTCTCACTAAGTTGCTGAGGCTGGCCTTGACCTTGTGATCCTCCTGCCTCAGCCTCCCAGTTGCTGGAATTATAGGCATGTGCTTTTCTACACCAGGCTAGTTATCATTTTTAGTAATATTTTTTCCTGGGTAACCTCAGAAGCTCTAAGAGTCCCTTAGGTCTTATGGCTGACACCTGAAATCTCATCATAATTCAGGCCTTTATTTTTAAGAATATTTCATATTTATTAAAGTTTAACAGTTAACCTAACAGTTAAAATGCTAGTTACTCAGTCACTCATCTCTCTCTGCAGTGGGCAGGAAACAGAGATAAGGGCAAAAATCTAAATAAGTACAGGGGCTGGGCAGGAAATGGTCAGAAGTCACAGAGAAAGGTTGAGACTGTGCCACACGCTTGCCTTATGAGGGGTGTTCAGACGACACCACAGAGCACCGCTGAACGGGCAGCAGCAGGCCCGAGGACCTGCTCACCGGAGGCTGCCAGCTCACCAGACAGAGACAAGGCCTTAAAACAGGGTCACGGAGAGCAAAGTGTTTGTGAAGCTACTGACATCATTACTTTAAGAATTTTTTTCTGATTCCATTTCATTTGTGACCTCAGGTCATTGGCATCCTTTGTCTTTCATTGGTTCAAATCCTCTGAATTACTTGCCAGATGTGGAAGTAAGTGTTGTTATTAAAAGGGACTCAGGTCAGGCGTAGTGACACACTCCTGTAATCTCAGAGGCTCAGGAGGCTGAGGCAGGAGGATCGTGAGTTCCAAGCCAGCCTCAGCAAAAGCGAGGCCCTAAGCAACTCAGTGAGACCCTGTCTCTAAATAAAATACAAAATAGGGCTGGGATGTGGCTCAGTGGTCAAGTGCCCCTGAGTTCAATCCCTGATACTCACCCTCCCCCCAAAAAAAGAAATTGGGTGCTGCAGAAAGATCCCGAGTGCACTTCCAGAGGTGCAGGTTATCTGAACCCCAGAAAGGCTCAGCTTATCTTGATGGTATAAACTAACGGGGGAGGGTTCACCTTCCTCTGGCTGTGGAAATAAAAGCCATCCTGACAAACTTCCTGGGTTTGGACAGGTTCTGGCGCCCGAGGCTCCTGGGCTGGGGAAGTAACTCTATCCCTCTGGCCTTAATGTCCTCCCCTGTAAAATGGGGAGAACCGGCATCTCCAGGGCAGCTGTGGAAGGGTCAGAAGGCAGGAGGGTGCGCACACCAGGGCAGGCCGCTGCCCTCTGTCAAGGCCCGCTGCTCTCACAGCAGGAGCCGCTTGTTTGCTGAATGCTCTGACCCTGGCGGTGGCACTAGCTGCACGGCCGTGGGTGCCCGGGGAGGGCGGGTCTTACCTATCACGGAGACGGCACCGAGGGGCACGATCAGCGAGAGCGGGGCGAAGGCGTAGGAGGCGAACACGCCCAGCTCGCCCAGCAGCAGGAGGAAGAGGCCCAGCCACCATGTCTTGGTCTTGAAGTAGGCGCGCGGGTCCTTGGTGCCCGCCAGGCGGATGTGGCAGTACTTCTGGAACCCAGAGAGGATGAGGGTCGCCCAGCTGCCGCGAGGCCCGTCTCCCAGACCTGCACCCACCTCTAACAATCACCGGAGCCCTCACTGAGAGAAGATAAGCCGCAGCCAGCTGCAGGCCAGCTCTCCCCTGTCACTCTAAGGCAGTGGTCCCCAACAGTGAGGGGCCGAGAACCACAGAACCTTCCCTGGAAACCTGGACGGACACCTGCCTGGGCTCATCCCCAGGGTCACCGCAGTGGGCAGCTGGGAACGGGCACTGCTAATGCACACCACAGGCAGAGGGCGATCGGGGCGGGAGCCAGGTCTAAGGTCCCCGCTGTGGCCTGGCCTTCGCCCTTGGGCTACAGTTCCCAGGGGTCCTCAGTATGGGATGCTCGCTGATCATGCTCCCTTCTGTAGAAGGGGCCAGCGGCTTCTGCTGGGCAGCCACACAGTGGGCTCTGCCTCCCCTGGGCAGACCGTGGCTCAAGCACGGCCCGCGCTCCTGTGTTTCTGGAAATGTGAACTGGGCACAGACACCAAGGTGGTAACTGAGGAAGGCTAGGAAGCATGTGGAATTAGGACGAGTGTGCTAACTGGGAATCCTGGACACACGCACACACACACAGGCGTGCACCACACATGCACAGGCGCATACACATGCGCACAGGCGTGTGCACACATGCATGGCAGAGGTGCACAAGGCATGGGTGTACGAGCCCCACACCTGTCCACAGGGCTACAGTTTCACACCTGCTCCAGGGAGGGGGGAGGGAGGGGGAAGGGAAGTGGGCGGGGCTTAGGGACTTAGACCTGGGACAGGTGGTGTACCTGGG